GTTATAAAATGGTTGATTATTTTTTGTAATAGCATTGACTTTCTGAAAATTTTTAAACAATTACAGGTCCTATTTGGTTTGGGCACACTTGCACAGATGGAGAATGCCACTCACCATTTCTATGCTTAATAACTGCTTAAAAGGCATTAACCAGACAAGCAAGCATCCCAGCTTGACAAGATTCATATATGAATGTTGCTTCCAAGCATTATATGCAGACATATATTTTAGGTCTTGTTTTGTTACTGGCATTATGTACACAGCAATCATTATGTATACAGAAAAGGCATATTCATTTAATAAAGGTGAAGAGGAGACAAGATGCCAACGGGTGTTGGATATGGCATCAGGTGTGGGTCGTGTGGAGAGTGGCAGAGTAGCGAGAGTAGTAAACCTTCCTCTCCTCGCTGCTAGACTGGCTGTCAAGCAGATGATAATGCATAGTGTTCACAATACGTATTCACACCCAATAAGGATATTCAAGCTATTTTGAAGCATTTCTCATCTTAAAGATATACAATGAAATTAACAAAAACGTATATTTGTACATGCTCTTAAGCGCAAATCTTGGAAAGATGCATTTAAACTCTTTAAACACACATTGTTATACAGCATTCGACTCAAAAACATCCAAGTCCAAGTTTGTAAGCATGGTACATTGCATCTTTGCAACTTGCAGTAGTCAGCAGTTGGATCTATATGTACCTTCCTTATATTCAAGCCATTACTATATTGAGAACCACTGTGACTGGACAATATGATTTTATTTAGCCAGTGTTATCCTTCTTGACATCTTTTGATAAAACACACGTCTTAGCTTTTATCCCTCTCCTCCTTATCACAAGTTTTGACATATATTCCACTTTACGGACCACTGTCTTCAGTCAACTTTTTTTTTTTTTTACTAGCACCATAACAATGAGGTTATTGGCCTTATATAAATTCAAACCTTATTAACATTCGGTTAAGGAGCACAAATCTTTGCTCGGCTTTCTCCACAGGATGTCAAACCAGAGGGAATAAAACTCCTATAGATTCTCTGTAGAGAATTATTATACTGTAGTTGATGGGGACAGCATTCCTTGTTAACTGTCTGGTGTATAAGTCAGTTTACTGATCCAGTAACTCCAGCAGAAACTTGTCAAGTTCTCCCTTGAAAGCCTCTACTGTTATTCCAGAGATGTTTGCGGGACCAAAGAGCCAGAGCTCAACTCCCGCAACCACAAGTAGGCGAGTACATTTGCTGGGAGGAGATTACAGTCATGGAGCTCTGATGTTTACCATGCTCTCTAGTTGTGCCTGTGGCACCTAACTTTTCATTAGCTTTATTCTACACTTTCTACCACATCTCCCACTCTAGTATGCTCGAAAACTTTATGTAGGGCAGATGTAAATGTGTGTGTGTATGTGTGTATATATATATATATATATATATATATATATATATATATATATATATATATATATATATATATATATATATGTATGTAGATTAGATTAGCATTTTAAAAGCACCACAATCACCTTCTGTGGTTGAATTTTCAATAACTCACTGAACTATATGTTTACCAGATCTCTAACCCTGTTCATGGAGGACAGAAGAAAAAATATATGCTGGTTAGCATTGTAAATGTGTGGCTACGTCTGTGATAGGAAAAAAACAAAAACAAGTATGTTATATGTTCATTGTGGTGCTTTAGGACCAAAGGGTTTATCCCTATAGCATAAAGCACATTACATCTCCTGTGTTTTGGCCAGAGAGAGAAGCTTCGAAAGCCACACTTGGTTGCTCTCTGGGTCACCAGAGCATACAATCCTTCCACGAAAAGAAGTGAAGCAAAGAGGAACCTTTCTCACCATGTATTATGGATCGTTGCATCAGACTTTTAACAAATATTCAGGAGCTAAGAGTAAAGGAACTCCATATTGTCTGGAGTGATAGTTCAATTTTTTTTATCATGCCAAATATTGTTAAAACTTTTATTTACCTTCAAATTCTCTCTTGCTTCTGCACAGCCACAACAAAACTAATGAGTAAAGCGTATTAAGTCTTCCAAAAGATTAACTTCAGACTTGTCACACAAGCCTTTTTGCTTCAAAGCTCTCTTAAGACGCACACATCACCTACCTAGGATGTAATACTACCTACCTAAATCATAACATTGCAATGTGTGATCAATTTATTTGGCTTTGCAAGCAGTCTGACAAATACAAAATATACTACATTTTACTTTTTTTTTTTTTATAGTTTGTTGATTTAGTTTGGTAGTTGCATAAAATCTACTAAAATGCACTTGGCCCTAGCAGCTTAAGTGATTTATAGTTCTTAACTTGACCTTTAATTCTCTCTCTTTATATATGCCTTGTGCTTTTTTTTTTTGGCTGGACAGTTAATTCTATCTATTCTTGCTGCATTTATAAATATCTACTACATGTCTTTCATTTTAAGAAATTTAATTATAAAGCTTAAATTTTTTACCGATCTTATTCAGCCTTGACCTAAACTAATGCGCTTTCAGGTGGTTTCATTATCAACAAAGGGCATGACAAATCTACAATTTCACACGGCTTTAACATATTTATCATTAAATTTATATCCTTTGCACTAGGAAGAAATGCAGACTTCTTTTTTTTTAATTCAAACATTCAGTTCCTCCAGGATTGGCCAAAAACATAAAAAATCAACTATTTTAAAAACCAAACTGAGTGATTGTTGGCTTCACTTTTGAAACTATATAAAAGTTTAAAATTAAATTCTAATCACAATCTTATTCAAATAAAGAGACGGGTCTCCACTTTCTGTCACGAGTCAGAAAAAGACCTTAATTTAGGAAAACCAACAATCAAACAAGTCACTGCAATTTTACGAATTTTAATTCAACAAAATATTAAATATTTACAAACTCCACAACAAATATCAACGATACAAGATAAGCACGCAATGGGTTCAGACACCCACGAGTCTGCAGCATTATGCTCCTTTCATTTGGCATCTGTTTACTAGCCATTTATCTCCGCTGCTGTGCTTATGGCACTTATAGAGCATAAACCAGGAGCATATGTGTGGCATAAAGCGGGAGCAATTGTGGGGCATAAAGCGGGAGCAATTGTGGGGCATAAAGCGGGAGCAATTGTGGGGCATAAAGCGGGAGCAATTGTGGGGCATAAAGCGGGAGCAATTGTGGGGCATAAAGCGGGAGCAATTGTGGGGCATGAAGCAGGAGCAATTGTGGGGCATGAAGCAGGAGCATGTGTGGGGCATAAACCAGGAGCATGTGTATGGCATAAACCAGGAGCATGTGGCATGACTGGCATAAACCAGTAGCATGTGGCATGACTGGCATAAACCAGGAGCATGTGTGGCATAAACCAGGAGCATGTGTGGCATAAACCAGGAGCATATATGGCATAAACCAGGAGCATGTGGCATGACTGGCATAAACCAAGAACATGTGTGTGGCATAAACCAGGAGTGTGGCATGACTGACAAAAACCAGTAGCATGTGGCATGAGTGGCATAAACCAGGAGCATGTGTGTGTGGCATAAACCAGGAGCATGTGTGTAGCATAAACCAGGAGCATGTGTGTGTGGCATAAACCAGGAGCATGTGGCATGACTGGCATAAACCAGGAGCATGTGTGGGGCATAAACCATGAGCATGTGTGTGGCATAAACCATGAGCCTGTGTGGCATAAACCAGGAGCATATATGGCATAAAGCAGGAGCATATGTGCCATAAACCAGGAGCATATATGGCATAAACCAGGAGCATGTGGCATGACTGGCATAAACCAGGAGCATGTGGCATTACAGTGGCAGCCAATAAGAGTCTGATGGACACGTGTGTGAACACACCTAGGCGGCAATTCCACAAGAAGTCTACACGTGGAAACAATCGGGGTCATTTGTGAGAGCTGATTTGAAGTGAACTTAAGCTAACTTAATATGCATAAGTACTGGGAGGAGAGATAAGAGGTAGGAAAGAACACAGAACTTTTGACATATTTTGTAACATGATACAGGAGGACCAAGGAAAAAAAAAAAGCTCAAGATACAAAAGTATAACTAAAGAGGACAAAGAGGAATTTATGCAAGTGGCCCATGGTATAAGAGATCCTGAGCACATCTAGGCGAGTATATGTCCATCCTGCACAGTCCCATATATCCCATTATTAATGGTATCTAATGACAACATATAATTCAAATCTCAGACTTTCATGAAGATTACCCTAAATTGTGTCGGATATTATTTATATTTTATTATATATATATATATATATATATAAACAATAGGGAAGGGAGTATATATATATATATATATATATATATATATATATATATATATATATATATATATATATATATCGTACCTAGTAGCCAGAATGCACTTCCTGGCCTACTAAGCCCTAAGCAAGGCTCAATTTGCCTAATAGGCCGAGTGATTTTCTTTATTTTCAATAAATTGTTTCCAATTAGTCTATTTTAATTATTATTATTACACTATATTAAGAACATAAATTATTGATGTAGTTGTGTTAGTTTAGGTTAGGTTTAGATCTGTTAGATTAGGTTAGGTGGGGTTGGTTAGGTTCGGTTATATATCTACGTTAGTTTTAACTCGAATTTAAACAAATTAACTTACACAACGAAATAGCCAGATTTATCATTTCATAAGAAAAAAAATAGAAAAATATATAAATTCAGAAAAACTTGGCTTATTAGGCAAATTGAGCCTTGCATAGTAGGCCGCGTACGATGTTCTGGCTACTAGGTACAACATATATACATACATACATGTTATATATATATACTGTATATAATTACATAATTATTAATCATAACTAACTTACTATGCACATTCAGTGAATGTAGTCTACCCAAAACTCCCATGCATGTCCTTAAGCTTGGATATTGGCTTTTAAAGGCTCATCATAAATTTCATCACAAATGAAATTACTGTAAAAAAAAAAAAAGAACACAAATAATAAAAAGTACTCACACATCACAGTCAAACATATTTCTAATTTTGAGGCAAGAGGTGGGGGACACATTGGGGACATTATGTGGACCAAGATTGTCGAATGCCGGTCCCTGCCACATTTTCGCCGGGGGACGCCCAGCGCCCCCATCTCCAGCCAGGGAGTTGTTGCCTGGAGAGTGGGGCACACCAGAAGCCCACCGCCAAACCTCGCAATCTTCTCCTCCAACTTCCTGAATCTCACGTAGTACCTTAAAGAAACGAAAATGCAATGCAATGACTTTTTACTTGAACTCTCAAAGGTAGTCGTCGTGTTCGGATCATCCAGTGCAATGTGGCCATCAGACAATGATTTACATTTTGTGTTAACGTCTGAATCTCTATGTTGCCCATATGGTTCTAATAAACCTAAATGGTATCTCCCACCAGTAATTGGAGACCACAAAATAATTTGGAGCCAGACATCCTTCAGTTCTTGGTCCATATCACATGAACATAATACCTGGGCCAATATACACATCTTCAAATTACACTTTTTTGTGTGTCAACATTTGCCTACAAATCCCTTACTTCTGAATATATTTCATATATCTTTTTTGTGACGAGTGTGGGGGGGGGAGTTACTGGCTAAAACTGTGAAGTAATTCTAATAAATAGCAGAAGAAATGTTGATCACTGCCCAAGCCAAAATAAAGATACTGCAATATTATATATATATATATATATATATATATATATATATATATATATATATATATATATATATATATATATATATATATATATATATATATATATATATATATATATATATATATATATATATATATATATATATATATATATATATATATATATATATATATATATATATATATATATATATATATATATATATATATATATATATATATATATATATATATATATATATATATATATATATATATATATATATATATATATATATATATATATATATATATATATATATATATATATATATATATATATATAATATACAAAAAATCTAGTCCAACAGTATTTCCTTTTATTCCTGTTTCTAACTCCCATATTTGTCCCTTTCCTTGCCTCAAACAAAATAACTTACCCTTGACTCATAGTGATCAATAAACTGCACAGCTTTCTCCCACAGCCTCTTCTTGACCCGACGGTCCCTCGGGCTGATGAGAGAGTCTCGAACATGATTCACTGCCACATAGTCCTTTCCTGCAGGAATCCCCACACCTCCCAACACTTCCAATATCTGTTCTATTAATTCATAAACCTGCAAGAAAATTACAGAAAACTGAGCTGCTGTAAATTAAGAAGAGTTGTTTAATATATATTGTACTACAAATATTTTTCCTCCCATTCAAATCAAGTGGTTGGATGTATGTAGTATAGTCTTTATCAAAACACCGTCATTAAAGATCGGGTCAAGTAATATAGCAAGGGATTGTGCGCATGCTAGGGAAGCCGGTGGGCAAAGTATATACATAAAAGTTAAGAAAAAAAGGGGGTACCAACAATTAGGAAGGTGACCATGTATGTAATTGGAACAAATAGTTGGTATGTGATAAGGCATAAAGTAAGGATCTATACCCAGACTGTCTTGAGGCGGAGTATCAGAGGCAGAAAAACAAGCAAGTAATGGACATAGAAATATAAGACAGCATGTTTTAATAGAAAATGCATACGGTATATGATGTGAGATATACATAAGGTATATCATACGGTATATTAAACAACAGGTAAACACAGACAACGTATGGCATGTATTTTGTCACAAAGTGAGCTATAGATATATAATAATGAAGTAAAATGGTGAAGAACTAGAAAATGGTGTTTTAATGAAGCAAGGGAGATCGAGTGAATATCATTACAGTACTGCTGTAACAATATGAAGTTTCCAATAGAGCAATCATTTTGTCTAAGATACATGTAGCAATGGCTAAATTCGAGACAAGATGGTTTTGTTAGGGAATCAAGGAAGATGTGCAAATATAATGAAATAATAGACGTGTAAACGTAATTTTAATGTGTAGCTTGGGGACGCCTCACTGAGCAGCTTCTGTAAATCTGTACAATTACTGAAGTGGCATCCCGTGTTTCAAAGGTTCAAATAATTCACCCAATACTTTTCCTTGCTGATTCTGTTTGTTTTATTATGTTCCCTAAACATTATGCCATCACAAGTCATTATTTCTAGATTCTTAACATGTTTCTGTTCTATGAGAAGAATTGACTGCATCTGCATGATTTGACTTATAACCTGCACATAGTTCACTTAAATTTTTTAATTTTGTCCATATATCTATCAGATAAATGCATACACATTATCTTCAAGGGTTTGGCTGTGTGGAAAGGACAATATATATATTCTATGGATTTACAACATGGTTACCTTGAGGTTATCTCGAGATGATTTTGGGGCTTTAGAGTCCCTGCTACCTGGTCCTCGACCAGGCCTCCTTTTTGTTACCCCCCTCCCCCTCAGGAAGCAGCCTGTATCAGCTGTCTAACTCTCGGGTACCTATTTACTTTTAGGTGAACAGAGGCATCAAGGTGAAAAACTCTGCCCATTTGTTTCCACCTCCACCGGGGATCGAACCCGGAACCTTAGGACTACGAATCCCGAGTGCTGTCCACCCAGCTGTCAGACCCCTACATTTTATACATGGTATCAATATATAAAAACCCACATGTGTGTATTTGTGAAATTTATGTAAGGAATTTTCACCAAGTCTTTTGCACTCTCCTGGGTGCTTTATCAAGGTCAGAGTGTGTGATTAGGACGAGACTTACATCTCGATGTCTAATGAGGCTGCTTTATAGGGTATGGTGATGTAATTGTTGCCAGACTCCGGCTGCTAGCTTTCCACTAGGTCTTACATCTTCCCTCTGGGTCAATGAAGTACCATTGAACAGTTGTATGCTCGAAGTCGAATTCACAGGGATGTTGATTACTGGTGTCAGCTCCCGAATGAACACAAGATCCAGTGTACGAAGCCTCCTACAATCGTCAATTTGTGCGATTGCTGTCGTATCTTTCGCTATGTCTTAGGGATTCAGGATGGTATTGTGGTATTGAGAATTATGTTGCTTAATACCTCCGTCTTGCAAATGAAGTGCAAGACGTCTACTCATGTATTTGTGGTATGTTCAATATAGCATATACTTCGGACCGCACAGTCTCCAAAGCTACATTTGTAACGATACACTACATTAGTACTCCTCAGTTTGTCAAGAGGAGGCAGAGATGTTACTTCTCATAATGAGGGAAGATGATCAACGGTTGTTATAATAAATGACAGGACAAATCCTTAGATTTTCACCGCAAGGTTTGCAATTCCTATAATATCTCGTATCTGGTTGATACCTGGTTGATGGGGTTCTGGGAGTTGTTCTATTCCCCAAGCCCGGCCTAAGGCCAAGCTTAACTTGTGAGAGTTTGGTCCACCAGGCTGCTGTTGCTTGGAGCGGCCCGCAGGCCCACATATCCACCACAGCCCGATTGATCTGGCACTCCTTGGAGAAAATGATCTAGTTTTCTCTTGAAGATGTCCACAATTGCTTCGGCAATATTTCTTATGCTCGCTGGAAAGATGTTGAACAACCGCGGACCTCTGATGTTTATACAGTGTTCTCTGATTGTGCCAATGGCACCCCTGCTCCTCACTGGTTTTACTCTGCATTTTCTTCCATATCATTCACTCCAGTATGTTGTTATTTTACTGTGTAGATTTGGTACTTGGCCCTCCAGTATCTTCCACGTGTGTATTATTTGATATTCAGAACTTATCACCTTCTCATCCTTTCTGTATGCCTGAGTGAATGTATTTTTATAATACACTACAATGTCTTCTCTTGGGGGTCTGATTTTGCACACCTGGGGGCCTGATTATCCACAATCACATGGTGGCCTAGCTTCATTTTTACGATTTCGTCGAATTCTGTATTGCTGTAATCATTGTTCTCAACAATTTGGTGGATTCATTTAAGTTCGTAAATTTCATTTGCAAGATGGAGGTATTAAGCAACATCATTCTCAATACCACAACACCATCCTGAAATGCCAAGACATAGTGAAAGATACGACAGTACTCGCACGCACCGATGATCGTAGGAGGCTTCGTATGCTTGAAGTGTTCATTTGGGAGCTGATGCCAGTAATCAACATCCAGATGAATTCAACTTTGGGCATACAACTGTTAGATGGTCCTCCACTGATCCAGAGAGAAGATGTAAGATCTGGTGGACAGCTAGAACCCAGAGTCAGGCAACAATCACCTCACCCTACTCTTCGCCCCTCCCTACGATTAAGGGGGTTAGGTGAATCGTAGAGCGAAGTGTACCCCACACTTATAAATGTCTGGATTTCTCCTTGTAAGCTCAGTATAATTGTGTTAGTGCAACAGTGTACACTCCCGGAGATGTCATATTACTGACGAAATGTCGAACAATAAAAATTAAAAAAAAAAGTGGTCTAGTGTTTCTTCACCCTCCAGATGGTAGAAGATATTTGCATAGAGTGGAAAATATCCAAAAGAAAATTAATAATAGTCAATGCTGTTGTGTTTAATGATGTGTGTATTAGAGACTATACATGTGTCCTATTAAGGGACACCAGTACCTCAAACCTTAAGCAAAATGGCAAAAATAGTAATAATGAACTAGTAGTCATACAAACTATGGCAATGCTTGTAAAAAAAAGATTTAGAAGCAAAGAAATATACCTGTTGTTTTTCCTCCTCTGCTTTGCGTTTGTGATAGCGCACGCAGTAGAATGCTAACCAAGCAGTCAAAATAACTGAAATGATAAAAATATTACCAATTAACATTAGTAAGCAAGTTACATTTTGCATGATATTTTGTGACAGCGCACCAAAATAACAAATATAATTTGTAGTCTAGGTTTCATCCCATATATAACAAATCTTTATAGCTTTTGATTTCCTGTATTTCAAAACCCAATGTCGATATACACAGTATTACAGAACATAAAAAACAAAAACAAAACTGGAACTTGTTAGTTCCTAGTGTTGCCAATGTGTCATCTGGAATACAGGAGAGCCCTGCTTCTGTCAAGCTATTGTTTACTCTCCTCCCTGACTTTACCAGGCATCCCAGAACATCTGGGTGATATTTTCAGTTTTCCCAGCAGAGAACTGTCTGTTGTTCCACAAGGCAGGACCGGGGCATCCTCCCGTTACTGCTCATATGCCAGACCTTTGTCAACCTTTGTGCATCAATGCAACAATTTCTAAAATTGTCTTGCTGCTTTATTTAGAAGCAGGGAGACATTCTAATTCTCTTGACCTGTTTCAATTAAAAGTTGTGGATGAATGTGGCTTCCTCTATTTCATTCAATGCATTCCACTTGTCCATCTACACAGTGTATGCAAACTTATGTCTCCCGACTTGCCTGCATTTCTAACTTCAACACACGTCCTCGTCCTTTTCTGGATTAATATAAGAAGTTTCTTTGATCTACCATGTCTATTCTTATCAATATTTTATACATAATAACTTATGATCGGCAAGAATGCAGTGAAGCCAAAGAATTTTTTTTTTAAGGGAAATTCCTGCGTAGGTCCTAAGCCTCTGGCTGGCCCACTAAGTGTTGCTTGTTTCCGTTTTACTTGGGCAAAGTGTGAGAAGTTATGACTCGTATGGTTGCTTCAGTAAGATTTTGCTCAATGTGTTTAACAACAACTGCTCTGTTGAATCTAAGTTAAAATCTTATTGGGTTTGTAACTGTGCACTGTGTTAGATAATGTTCCAGTGGTCTGACAGGCATTTCTCCACAGTGCTGACATTTCCTCTCATCTGGAACCTGTAAGCCTATTTCCCATGTACATGGAAAATCCAATCCAAGCCGCATCAGGTATCCAAGCCTGATGCGATGTAAGTGTACTTCTGTTTAGAACTATTTCACCATTTCATGCATTTTCCAACTGCTTCATATTGTTGTGGAGAGGGAGTGTACTGCAATTGTCATTAATGAAGAGTTGTTACAGAATTCAAAATATAGTTAATATGATTTATATTCACTAACCAGACCTAACATAATTACTGTACACAGATATAATACAGACTTCATTCAGCAAATCTCTGGTTACATTGTAGACATTTTGGTCTGAATTTACATACCTGGTTCACCAAACTACTGTACAGTAAACCAAGGTATTCATAAAAAAAAAAAGTATGTAGATATATAATCTGGAAAATCTAATATTGTATGCATATCTGGGAAATATTTTGCTGCCATCAGCTTATTCAAACTTCTTTATGTATCATTTCATAAACCAAATTTGCTATGAAAATGGCTGCATTCTCTCAAAGATTTCCACTTCCACAATTCTTCTTTTGGTACTCCTACGTTTCACCGAGTTTATCCTTCGCTGGGTAAATACAGTACGTTTCAGTAACATAGTATACTGACCTGTTATAATGCCCATCAGCATATAAAAGAAGGAGTAAATGGCTGTGGTGATGTGGCAGAGGATGTATGTAGGCTGGGAAGACAAAGACAAGCCTAATAATGCCTTATTTTCTCCCCTAACTGCTTCAAGGCCCCAGTGGCTATTCAGCTCCACCAATTTGCCCAGGGCATTGATGCCTTCAACACTGCATGAAAGTTCCTGCAAAAATAAATTTACAATATATTATATATAAAGCATATGAAATACACCCAACAATATTAAAATAGGACAAATTTCAGGCACAGCACAACACAGAATCAGGAGCTGGAGCCACACAATCAAGCCTCAAACACATCAGCCGAGAACTGACCGGTGGATAGCCGGCGCAAGGGGTCTGGGGCTCCCCTTTCCCCCTCCCAGTGAGGGGAGAGGGGGGGGTGAGGGGGAAGGGCAGACAAAAAGCACAGCAAAACTGCGCAGACAAAAAGCACGGCAAGTGTAACATAATGCTCGTTTTTCAATAGGGGAGTTCTGTCCACTCGTTAGCTTTCAGTAGTAGTTTTAACTAGAATAAGGGTTTGTTTCGAGGTGCTTACCTTTCTGGGTGCCTGGCCTGGTCGATGGCAGATATAGAATGCTCCAAACTCATGTGCACTACTATAGGCCATTGCTCCTCGTACCTCTCTGAGAGGGCCAGGTTCTGGCTTGTGCTCCCCCAGTAGGCCTAGAATTCCATTCACACTGACTGATGCCAAAGTCTAATAATATATATATTAGCCAGGATAGCTCAGGGAAGCCAAAGCCAGAAATTATTATATACACACACACACACACACATATTTATACATTACATCCAGACTACATTCATACATTATACATATATGGTACATGCGTAGACATACATTATATTCCTAATTACATACATGTATTATACAGTATTCATATATGACATACATTATAATCATAATTATATACATACATTGTATTCATATGACAAATTCTATTCATACATGTATTACCTGGAGCATACCTGGTCAGGGTTTCGGGTGTAGTTCTACTCCAAGCCCAGCCCGGTGCCAGGCTCGACCTGGCCAGGCATTATACTCATACACTACTGTACATACATTATATTCATACACTACACACATTATATTTATACATTACATATATTATACACATTCCCACAAAGGTCTTCATTGTACCATATGTGACTGACGTCACACTTCAGTACAAATTGTTACATATATCTATCTAAAGTTTCCTCGTCCAGTGTTCTCTGGCATACTATTCACCACCCACGTCAGCGAGGGACAAGACTGAACGAAATCTCCCCAAATTTAAAACTCAAGGCCTGCTTGGTACTTAATCCTACGAGGACACAGGTTGCGGCTCCCTAAGTTAAACACCAGTCTAGCCCCTATAGGCGAAAATATTGCCTATAGGGGCAATATTTTCCCGAACTTGCCTTCTTCAAGTTCATTTTCTCCAACCGTTTATGATCTAACTTAGTCCAACTAGCAATCTTGCATACATCTTTCACAACTAGGATGGATGGCCTCATACATCAATTGGATAATTATGACTTTCCTTTGGTTCTCTATACCATTGTCAACGGTTTCATCTTTGCTCTTGTACAATGTACATTATATACAGTTCATTCATGAAAACCCAGTTTGAAAATTATAGGGGCTTTTTCCATATTAATAACATTTCCAGGCACATGCAGGACATTAAAAATACTGTATTATTATACAGTATTTTTAATGTCCTGCAATGTTTATGGTACAGTATTGTTGAATGGTACCTTGGTAAAACATAAGGCTTGAGTGAAATTACTAAAGCTGGTGGCCATTATTTGTAGCAGTACAAATAATTACCTTCCAAATTACCAAATAATTACCTTCCAGCAGTACAAAAAGTACCTTCCAATACAAACTACTGAATATGAAAGAGAGATGAAATACATACAATATTAAAATAGGGCACACAATTGATCATTTCTGACAGCAGTACAGCCACCCTCCAAACCATTATTGTCCACAGAGCAGAAGCTTAACTAATATCAGAACCAAAAAAGGGCAAACAAATAAAAAATTACCTGTGAAGAATCTTGTTGATTAAAAAGATCTTTTATTTCATCTATTGGTATATATTTCAACAGTGTGTCTCCACATTGATACAACCCGGCATGACGGTGTAGAGCAGGCAGCAAGACATCCTCCAGTCTACCAAGGAGTGGCTGAACCGAGCCTATCTCTTGTACTGTCAGGCAATCAATCTGTTCAATCTGTAAAAAGTGGTCAATACAATGGTTACAATGACAAAAATATAAATTCAATACTTGTCTAAACCATATAAATTGCCTTAATTTTACAAATGTTCACATTATTTTTACCTCCACACACAATTTCTATTACCCAAGAATTATATACTGAATAAACTTTTATAAACTGCCTGTAGTGAAGAGGTGGTAATGACGAGAGAACAGCAGCAAAGCAAGAACAACTTCAGATTCTGTAAATTATGCCTCCACCTTGGAACAAAAACCATTTAACCACAAGTGAGTTGGGAGAAAACATGACCAAACAAAACAATTTGGGCCACAAGAAAGCCAGTGGGCATAGTTAAAACAAAATTATATGGTCAGTTTTCATTTTGAGTCTGATGTGTTTTTGTTCACCGAGAGTCCTTACCATTGAAAAGTAAGGTTTAGAATCTGGGCATTCTGACTATGGAGCAAAATGACAGTGATGGTGAAAGCTCGCTAGCTGGGTACATATCCATCTTGTGAAAGATTGAACTTTGAATTTTGCTTTGTCAACTTTGCCCATACAGCATGGAAAAAGTGTGTGAATATTATCTTCTTACGCATGGCTCCGACAAACTTTTTAATGCTTTTCCTGAATTTGCAACCTTAGAAAAGAAAGTTAGTGTCGTAGGAAAATCTTTTGGCATTGTTAAAACAAAGCTGTATGGTTAGTTTTCCTTTCGAGTTTGATTTGTTACATTCATCTGAAACCATGGTACTACCTTAAAAAAAAAATTAAAGGCTGGAGCAAGGGAAATTTTGGATATACTGTACAAGTGAAAACTCTATACAGTTAGGTTCTCCTGGAAGATATTCACCAAATGACATGACAAAAAAGTATTATGCTCAGTCAAATTTGCCAACAGATCATGGAAAATAGATGGCCATTAATGGTACTGTATCTAATATATATTACCTATATTGTGTTAAAATATTACAACATTAAAAATTGTACTTGGTATTTATGGAGGGGTATTATAATAATAATAATAAAGATAAATACTTTTTCAGACCAAACAGGTTGTTTCAACACGTTTAGGTTCAGAAGTGTTAGGATAGCCTGTGGTTATCTATATACCCCAAACCCAGCAATATTTGAACTTGTTGCAAAGTAGATGATGGCTTGTTCTACATACTGGTAAAAAGCTAAAATGGAAGAATGCAATACACAATGGAACAGTTTTAAGAATGTAAAGATTAATAATTTATACCAGACTAAATTTTTTTAGATGTTTACAACCATTGTTTCCAATCAAAACACAGAATAATGTTTATAAGCAGACGTATTGAGCATCTACAACTTAACCCAACACATCTCATAATACACAACAGGAGAAACTTTACAACTAAATAATGAAAATAAAACCTGCTATTCAAATATAGTATTTTATAAACAAAATATTGACATAGCTAAAAAGAAAACAATCTTACCTTTGTTTTTTCATTGCATACTGGAAACTTAATTTCTGAAACAGAGAGAAGATGTTCAGTTACCAGTTGTGCATTAGGACAAATGGAATACAGATACAATTACCTTTACTGTGAGTGTTTTTTTCAATACTTTAACTCGGTAAAAATTATTGTACTGTACTCTTAATAAAATGTTACCTACATGCACCAATATAAAATAATATATACATGTGAAACATGTACAGAAGTAGAGGCCTGCAAAAAAAGAAAAAAAAAAAAGAAATGTGAACGCCCATTTATTAACTCTCGCAGCCACATGTAACTCACACCTCTATACATCTCTCAACACAATACTAAACAAAAATACAACAAACACTGCATCAGTTCACAAGTTATGCAGCTTCTCTGTTTTGTATATGTCTGCCTCTCCAGTATTGTATTTGGATACAGTTAAACAAAAACTTAGGCAAATTTGTTGTGATGTTAGAGGACCTCCAAGAAGATATAGGCTAAAAGAAGTTTTGCTATAAGCCTTAGGGGCTGCACAAGATTCTTAAAACCAAGACCCATTGGGTCTGGGAAGACATTAAGTGTGCTTGAGTTCTCAAGCACTTAAGTATGCAGTCCTACCCCTCCTACCCCTATATGGGGTCTCATGTAGGTTGTATTTAGCACTCGGAAGGTTCCATTGTCTAATCCATGAAGGCTACCTGGATGTCCACTAAATATGGAAAATGCTACTAACTTTCTGCTAATGCTTAAAATCAGTGAAAGTCAGTGTTGCATCGATAAAAACAGTGTTGTTAGGAACTCCAACACTTACGGATGAGGAATTGTATAAAGAAAGAATGAGTCACTACAGAACACATAAATAATGACAAAACAAGAGTGTATTTGATGACTTAATATTATTTATTGTGCAGCTTTCCTACGAATGACAATATTATATGCTGAAAGATACCAACAGTTATTTAAATATGGCCAGAGAGTTTCAGTGTTCATAAATAAAATTATCCAAACTTAATCTTTTGAAAGTGAATTAGTGAAAGAACACGGTGCATTCTAGGTGTTTTCAAGCTACATATATAATCAGGCCAGCGTTGGGTAAGTACAGGCATACCATTAAGCAGCGTAAATTGTGCTGGCTGACAAGAGGTGTTTGGTTTATGAAAGGCAGTGGCTAGCTGTGAAAGGTAACCCCGAGAGGCTTGGTGAATTTGAGGAAGACAAGTGTGGAATATGAATGAAGTCCTTGGGAAAGCACATCACTGATGTGCGTATTCTATAATAATCATCTGTAATGAGAAAATATTCATGGTAAAATTCATGTTTTATAAATTGACATATTTGACAAAACTACAAAAACGTATTCATTCTGGTTCAGACACCAGCTGACATTACTGTCCTGTTGACCACTTCTATTGGCACACACTATGCTGGCCAGCTACATCTACTGACACTATGCTGGCCAGCTACATCTACTGACACTATGCTGGCCAGCTACATCTACTGACACTATGCTGCCCAGCTACATCTACTGACACTATGCTGCCCAGCTACATCTACTGACACTATGCTGGCCAGCTACATCTACTGACACTATGCTGGCCAGTTGCCTCTTACCAACACTTACCATGCTGGTTAGGTGCACTTACTGACACCATGATGGTCAGGTGTATCTACTGACACCTGCCATGCAGGTAAGTTGTGACTACCAACACCTATTGTGCCCAGCTGCAACTCCTGACACTTTATATTCTGACCAATGTTATCCACTGGCACCACCATTCTCGACCCACATATCTGCCGGCACATTCTCCCCAGGTGTATCAGCTGATCACCACAACAAGACCCACAGTGCTCCAGGGAATGTGATGATGCAAGACTGCTGGCTGGGTGATGGGAGAGGATGGGGTGGGGGTAGAGGGAGGCAGGCATGTTTGAAGACAGGCATTAATAAAGGGTAGCACTGTTATTTGGTTCGGGGGAGGCGGGGTGCGGAAGAAACCCAGACCGATAGTCAAATTGAGTGGTGAAGGAAGAGGAATAGTTTACTCTGATGGTAGAGAGACAGAAGGGAAGGGAGAGGTGCCTGAGTGGATACTGTGTGTGTGTGCTCACCTAGGTATTCTTGCAGGGGATGAGCTACAGCTCCTAGTCTCTGAAGGGTCTCTCTCTCAACCCTTCATCAACTGTTGTATAGGTTCTAGAGCCTAATGGTTTGTCATATTTACATTTAGAGCTGAGAATGGAATCTGTTTCCTCCATTTCAATTCTTAATGTTATAATGCTTTGTAGGACATCTGTAATCAGTGCAGCTTGCACCCATGGAGCTAAGGGAGCTGGTCGGCCGAGCGGACAGCACACTGGACTTGTGATCCTGTGGTCCTGTGTTCGATCTCGGGTGCCGGCGAGAAACAATGGGCAGAGTTTCTTTCACCCTATGCCCCTGTTACCTAGCAGTAAAATAGGTACCTGGGTGTTAGTCAGCTGTCACAGGCTGCTTCCTGGGGGTGGAGGCCTGGTCGAAGACCGGGCCGCGGGGACACTAAAAGCCCCGAAATCATCTCAAGATAACCTCAAGATAACCCATTGGGCGCCCTGCTGGTTTGCCAAGTCTCTCCAGCTACTCTTGGATTAGCTGGGTATCTACAGACCAATGTTGTAGCTGCCCCCAACCCATCAACAACAATACTGTGTAATGTACCCAATTTGTGCATTATCCTGACAATTTTTTTTTTTAAATGTGCCTGTAACTCACTTTGGTTCTTGGATTACCTGTGTCCTCTAGTTTGTGTACTACCCAACCTAAATAGTGTGCCCTTGTCAGCACTGTCTATTCCCCTAAAAAATGTTATGCAGTGATCATGTCGTATTTTATTTCTTCTCTCTCTCCTCCAGTGATGTGAGGTTTAACTCCTTTAGTCTTTCCTTGAAACTCATGCCTCTCAGCTCTGGGATTAGTCTGGTAGCATACTTGGGACTTTCTCCTTCTGCATTTATCAAAATAAAAGACTCAAAACTGATGCCCCATATTCCAGAGTTGGTCTGACATAAATGATATACAATACAAGGCCCTGACTGACTCTGTTCAGAACCTTAAAAGAAGTGCAAGTGCAGATGGATGTGTGCTTAGGTATGTACTGTTTGGGGGTGAAGGGTCACCTATGCACAGCAATCTAAAAATACAAATAGACAAGCTGCTATAGATTCATATGAGATAATCTTTAAAATACAAATTCTCCTTATAATTTGAAACTGTACAAGCAGCATTATAAAACTGGTAGAAACACTTCATAATATGCATATGAAAGTTAGTCAGATTCCAAATTGGCAAAATTAAAGTACAACATACAGTACTGGAGAGAGAAGGTATTTCTGTGCAAGATATTTGATTGGTAAATATGACAGGAAATGCAAAAATAAATCCAATGAAAAGTCAGGGGACTATAAGCACGATTAGAGAACACAGTAAACATCAGAGGCCCATGATACTTCAACCTCCTGCCAACAAATATAAGAAATGTCATTGGAACAACAGTGGAAGCTTTTAAAAGAACTGGTGATGGTTCTGCTGGAGTTACTTGATCAGCCTGGCTGTGATAGATAACTATGTGGGCCTTTACAAAGACTGGTTCCAAGGAAGGCTAGCTACAGGCCAGGATATGGGAGTAGAAAAACTTTAACAATTTTTTTTCAACATGCTATCAATGTGACCAGCCTGGCAAAGGAGCATGGCACTGTGATGAGTACTGTTTATGATACAATACAGTACTGAATACAAAGATTACAATTGTTATACACAGCTAATTCAAATTTTACAAGTACAGCAACAGCCCACTCAAAGGTCACAATAGTACAAGTAGCACTTCTCTTCAATAAAAATATAAAAAGATTCCTTACATGCAGTACAGCAGTATACAGTATTATCATTATACTGTATGTTCAGCACTGCATTTACACAGCTGTACTACGTACATGCTTCTACATGATATTAATGTGTTACAGCTTTTCCAGTCAATGTTTTCTTTTTTTTGTTTTTTTTTTTTGCATACATAGGGAGCCGGTCGGCCGAGCGGACAGCACCCTGGACTTGTGATCCTGTGGTCCTGGGTTCGATTCCAGGCGCCAGCGAGAAACAATGGGCAGAGTTTTTTTCCACCCTATGCCCCTGTTACCTAGCAGTAAAATAGGTACCTGGGTGTTAGTTGTCACGGGCTGCTTCCTGGGGGTAGAGGCCTGGTCGAGGACCGGGCCGCGGGGACACTAAAGCCCCGAAATCATCTCAAGATAACCTCAAGATATACATGTGCAATGGAGACCATGGCCTTTTGTAATTTAACCTTAACCCTTAGACAATGGTTATGGAGAATTGGTCATACCTGGCTATACACAAAAAAATATAAATATATCCCAAAATAATTTTTCATTATAGAATTATTAATTTGTAGAAATATACGAAAAACACAAAAATAAGTGAATATTTATCGTTTCACTGGGTGGAGGCACTAAGTCTGCGTCTGGCACTCGATTTTACTGAGGCTACCTGATTTTTTCTGTTTCACCGATTGTTTTATCACTTGTTTTTCTTTATTTACATCCACAGAGCTATTAAATGTATATCCAAATTTGCATCATACATGTGAAACCCAGACAATAATTTTCTAAATCTTCATATGACGATAACCACATTATCCTGTGAATCAACAATTGGCATTAACCAGTGTCTAACAATTGGCGTTAACCAGTGTCTAAGGGTTAAAGTGCAGCTACCATAATAGCTGCCATCTTAAGCAAAAACTCAATATTGCACTTGTTTTCTCCTATGAAATTGTAGACTTGTATTGAAAATTATAACAATTTAAAAAATATCTCATTTTGGTCTGGGCACTAGTCAGAACTCCTGAAATTGATCTGCATCAAGGTGTAATGGGAGTCGGGAACAAAAAAAAAAAAAATTTCATCTGAAATATATTCAACAGGAATCTGTATGTAAACCATAAAAAGAGTACAATAAAAAGAGTTTTACAGAGTGAAGCTCTTTATGCTGACCCAGGTAAGTGCAAGGATACAGTGAAGATCCTTATGCTGACCCAGGTAAGTGCTAGGATACAGTGAAGATCTTTATGCTGACCCAGGTAAGTGCTAGGATACAGTGAAGATCTTTATGCTGACCCAGGTAAGTGCAAGGGTACAGTGAAGATCTTTATGCTGACCCAGGTAAGTGCTAGGATACAGTGAAGATCTTTATGCTGACCCAGGTAAGTGCTAGGATACAGTGAAGATCTTTATGCTGACCCAGGTAAGTGCAAGGGTACAGTGAAGATCTTTATGCTGACCCAGGTAAGTGCAAGGATACAGTGAAGATCTTTATGCTGACCCAGGTAAGTGCAAGGATACAGTGAAGATCTTTATGCTGACCCAGGTAAGTGCTAGGATACAGTGAAGATCTTTATGCTGACCCAGGTAAGTGCAAGGATACAGTGAAGATCTTTATGCTGACCCAGGTAAGTGCAAGGGTCATCATGATGATGGAGACCAAGGGACCTGAAGAACAACCGACCCAATTATCTTGTAACCTTTCATGACTGCTCGAAAACATTACTGAGCTACTGGAACCCTAAGGCAACATCGATATTCAAATACCGACATAAAATGGGAACTCGTATAATGAAAACCACATTTCACTTGACAATCAACATGTTTTTTAACTGCACTTTAAATGTTAAAGGTTAAATTAAGATGCACGTACATTTTGTACAGCATATGAATTCATTTTAAATAATATTGTAACTGGTAGTACTATAGTTTTAGTGCTGAGAATTTTAATATCAAACACACTGGGAATGTAGGGAAAGGGAATGAAAAGCTATGTGAGGAAATATAAATGATTGAGCTCAAGCTGAAAGAATAATATAAAATCCAAGAGAGGCAAAAAGAACAAAAGGCCGCAAGTGAAAGAGAGGAACTCAAAATACTTTTTTCTTATATGCAGAAACAAGAACAAAAACTGCATCCAGCATTGGGGCCTTGTGCAAAGTTGATGGAACTTTCACAGATGACAACAAAGAAATGAGTGAAATAATGAGGCTTCAGTATCATTCTGAAGTATCAACCTTCATTCATTCTGAAATTATTGGAATTGTCTCAAAGCTCTCCAAATGTACTCACTAGAGAGGAGACGAGAGATATCAAATAATAAAGACGTGCAAAATACTGGAGGGCCAGGTACCAAATCTACACAGTAAAATAACAACATACTGGAGTGAACGATATGGAAGAAAATACAGAATAGAACCAGTGAAGAGCAGGGGTGCCATAAGCACAATCAGAGAACACGGTATAAACATCGGAGGTCCCCAGTTGTTCAACATCCTCCCAGCGAGTATAAAAAATATTGTGGGAACAACCATGGACATCTTCAAGAGAAAACTAGATTGTTTTCTAAAAGTGCCGGACCAACTGGGCAATAGTGGTTATCTTGAGGTTATCTTGAGATGATTTCGGGGCTTTTTTTTTAGTGTCCCCGCGGCCCGGTCCTTGACCAGGCCTCCACCCCAAGGAAGCAGCCCGTGACAGCTGACTAACACCTAGGTACCTATTTTACTCCTAGGTAACAGGGGCATAGGGTGAAAGAAACTCTGCCCATTGTTTCTTGCCGGCGCCTGGGATCGAACCCAGGACCACAGGATCACAAGTCCAGCGTGCTGTCCGCTCGGCCGACTGGCTCCCTGGGTAGTGGGTATGTAGGCCTGCGGGCCGCTCCAAGCAACGGCCTGGTGGACCAAACTCTCATCTAAAGCCTGGCCTCGGGCTGGGCTTGGGGAGTAGAAGAACTCCCAGAACCCCATCAAGCAGGTATCAAGCAAGTATGCCACCAGACTAGTACCCGAGCTGAGGGGTATGAACTATGTGGAGAAATTACGGGAATTAAATCTCACATAGCTGGAAGACAGAAGAGTTAAGGAAGACATGATCACCACATACAAGATCTGAGAATTTGATACGGTAGATAAAGTTTATTTAACACAGAGGGCACTAGGGGACAGAGATAGAGACTGAGTACGTACCCAAATGAACCACGGACATATTAGAAAGAACATCAGAGTAGTTAACAAATGGAATGCATTAGAAAGAGATGTGGTGGAGGCAGACTCCATACACAGTTTCAAATGTAGATATGATAGAACCCAATAGGCTCAGGAACCTGTACACCAGTTGATTGACAGTTGAGAGGTGGGACTGAAGAGCCCAAGCTTAACCTCCACAAGCACAACTAGGCGAGTACAACTTGTATGACCCATACAACAAAACATATCAAGTGACGTCACACAAGATACACAACACAGCCACACACCTGCTACACATCCCAAATTAGATATATGACAGCTGCACAATACAGGACAGCCTATGTGCTATACAATCAATCAAATTATGGATTTATCGAGGAACATTAGCCCTATTTATATTACACACATTGCCTAGAGCAAGAAAAAATTTATTTAAAACTAAGAAATTTTGTAATTTTGCTTTTTTTTTATCAAATGCAGCATATGTTTTAAGAACACAAGTTGGAGGAGTCACTACAGCAGGCTTGTTGGCCCATTCTGGATAGTACCCATCTAGATCCAACCCCTTATCCTCTTATGTATCCACAGAACCGAGCCTATTTTTTGAAGCTAGCTATACCATTTACCTCTGATGTTAGTTGGCAGCTTATTTCACTCATCTGCCACAGTGTTGCCAAACCAATACTTGCACATATCCTTTCCGACTCTGAACTTCTCCATCTTACGACCATTCTTTTGACCTGGTTTGATCGTTTCAAAATCTTGCTCATGTCTTCCCTGTGAATGACAGGGAAGGGATGGGGGGTGATATATATGAGCAAGATTTTGAAATTATTAGACTAGGTCAGAACACAGAATACCGTAATGACCTATACTAAACAGTAAAGTCTACATCTAATTATTAAATTCTGTGAACAAATCAGTCTCCTTGACCCAAATTTGTATTAAAAAAAAAGTATTGTTAACACACCTGAACAACACACATTCAAACCACGGATTAGTTATGAGAATTTGTTAAACAATACTGGAAATATCAACAATCACCCAATATAACAACTTCTCCTCACCTGATGCATGTGGCGGTGCAGGTTCTGGAGGCGGCGGTGCTTTGCTGGTGTGATGTGAAGTTGTGAGTGGTGATGAATGTGATGATTGTGGGGCAACATCATCCTTGGCTTGACTCTCAGGCTCATTGAAAGTGAGAAAAGGCACAGGTACATTAGCCATGGCCTGGTGGACCATGGCAGGCACAGAACACAGCGTGGGTAGGAGAGGCATACGCATGTTGACGTAGAGCATACCAACCACGCCAAAGAAAACTGCAAGAAGAATTAACAACAAGAGTGGGACTGAATAATGCCAAGTGCTCTCAACACTGTGTGAGTGGTCGAGGTGTTGGCTCGATTCACTGTGGTGTCTCCCATTGGCAACTCGGACTTGTTCGTGGTTGCCAGGAGACGCATGAGTCACAATAGATTCTGCTACACCTAAAAAACTCGCACCGTCCTCCAGACAATCTCTATCATAATCTCCATTTTCCAGGAAAGAATTAACTTTTCTACTCCTACTGGCAACATCCGAAACACTAAACGACCGATCACAGGAGACACTCGATGTGTGATTCTGGTACGTAGGGGCTTTGTAGGAATTATTGTTGGGCAGCACCTCACTTTCACGATTATTATTCCACAAATACGAGGTTGGGCCCATCCTGGCAGATGTGTCAAGGGAGTCGTCACCGTCTGCCAGGTCAGAGTCTGAGCCAGTGTCATAGTCATCGTGGATCTTGGCTCTAGGGCTGATGCCAGAGCGAGCAGACACTGGGTAGTAGGCAGTGCGGCCATGAGCCGCTTCACTATAGGAGTCACTACGGGCCAACACTGACACACCCCCGCCACTGGGCTCTCTACACACGTCCTCCCTCATCCCACTACCACTACTACTACTCGAGGGTCGTCCCTGCCGCCCACTCGTTCTACTTAACTGAGGGCAACTAATGCTATAATTTTTGTTATTTACAGTTATATCTGTATTTCCTCTCGATCCCCTTTTGTTTCTTAAGAACTTAAACGACCTGTTCGCTTGTGAATGGACAGAAGTATCGTTATCTTCATCCTCGTCTGAACTGAATGTGTTAAGCTGGCTGGCAGTGGAGGCCCTCTTGGACCTGGTGCTGGCGGCGGACACCTTCTTCTGGCTCGCTATGACGTGGTTCAGCTTCTTGATCAAGATATTCCTCGTGGTCGCCGTGACAGGGGACGTGATGCCATATTCCTTCAACTTCTTTCTAAGGTCGTCGTCCGTAAGCGACTTGTGGGACGCCATGTTTACGAACACCGCCACACAAGAGGGCCGACACACCGCCGACGGGCGACACTTGAGCATCGGCTGACCCGCCGCCTCACGCCCCGCACCGTTTCCTAATGCGCCCAATTGTGTTCCAAGTCTCCCCTCTAGGTCTTCATTAACCTATTGCAACACCACTCAAAACCCGCTACATTCGAAAATAGCCTGACACCATGGTTTAATGCTCTCTCATGTTTTTATTATTAATTATTGTGCGGGGAAGGTGAATATTTGGAATGAGATCAGGATGTGCCAGGCTGTGAAATCCTTCTGTATGGAATTATAAAATGAACAAACACTACAACAAATTTATGCTTCTTTGGCATTCACAATTATTAAAAATGAAATAATAATGATAATTCATTGTGTCGGGGGACAGGAAGCCAGAGTGTATTCATACATGTTTGTCTTTTATGGGGGGCCCCCTTCCCTAAGGTCGAATTACTGACCCCGTCCAGGATGCAACCCCACAACAAGCTGACTAACTCCTGAGTACCTACTCACTGCTAGGTGAACAGATACATTAGGTGAAAGGAACTGTACCCAACTAATTCTGTCCCGCCCGGGATTCGAACCCGGAATTCGTCGAGAACGAACCTAACTGTACTACCGGGAAATGTATTTATATATTTATGTGGGCCCTAATAAACACAATTCATGTAATAATGTAATTATTTTATTATTATATGACTCTTTATCATCCTAATATTGTGAAATATATATATGTTTTAGGGATAATATTTGATGATCCTTTGTTTAACTAACAATATAAACTAAAAACCTTAGCTGAGACTGCTCAGCTGAACAATTTGTGACCATTTATATTAAAGAAGATATAGGAGAGGCAATGTCTACCACAGGGAGCAGGCGACGCGGCGTAAGAGGTATGATATGCGTCATATCTGCGTGGTAGTGCTGGAGAGAGCTATGTAAATGGTATTCCTGATACCATAAACGTACCGAGATCATTAGTACAAGGTGGAGATTGTTAAGAAAAATATACGAATATGGGGAATTTTTTTTTTTTTTTTGGGGGGGGGGTCAGTGAACCATAGCAGACGCAATCAAATCAGCAAAGATGGCGGACGGGACAGTATCGTCAGTGGAGACAGCAAGGGGGGAACAGATTTCGAAAGTTTTACTCAGAAACAAATACAGGAAGGCGATTTTCTAGACAGGTTAGTGATTGAAGATTTGCTAAAAGCTTATAAAGGAAAATTTCTCAATTTAGAACAAGACAACAAAGGTCTCAGAGCAGAACTGATGAGTTGGCCAAGACTTGTGCTCGTAAAGAGGGAATTGATTACCAACTTGGACTGCCTTTGAGCAGCCTGAGGGCAGCAATATCCCAGGAACATCAACTCAATTTCGGAGACTTGAGGCAAAGTGAAATTCACACCAGTTACTCCATCTATCATCATTCTATTATGCAGGAAGAACCGCACGTCTATGGGTCATCCAGTAAGGTTAGCAGACTTCTAGATGTTACCACTGCTAGGCTTATGCTCGGCTACAAGTACCTCTGGAAATTTGTAACATCTGCTGATGTAGATTTGAGTAAATGTAAACTCTGTCAGCAGAACTATTCGCATAGTTTGTGTCATTATATAATGGAATGTGAAAAAATCGCGGAATTTAGAGATAACACCATCAATAGTGTCCAAGAAATGTGTGAGTACTTCATTCATAATGATGTGCTGCCCGAAATCTTAGCGAAGTATCCAAAATTTGCTTACTGTAGGTAATGCATGAATATAAAAATTTCTAGTAGTAGATTATTTTGAATGAAATATTTACACATTTCTTGAACATTTGTTATAAGAGCTGCCTCTGAATTCATGTATCTTTTCACATTCCATCACAGTGATGGAAGGTGTGCAAATAATTTTGTTGACACAGTTTACATTAGGGTTAGGTCTACATCAACACGTAATGAAAATTCCCAGAGTTACTTATAGCCATGTCTCAAAACAAAAGAAATTGTCAGTTGACTTTAGAAGGATAGGCAAATATGAAAAATATAAGAATCGCCCCTTAAGGGTGGTATTTAGTGGAGTGAAACAAATGACACAAGTGCTTAGGAATGCCAGGAAATGGCAAAATGAAGAGGATGGAAAAATAGTCATTAATAGACTTTCCAAGGAAGATAGAATTTAAAACTAAACCTCGCTGAAGCAAATGTCTAAATGCATAAGAATTTTTTTATGAGGTGATAGGGATTGGAAACCTGAAAAAACCTGTACCTGAAAAATGGTACATAAAACCAAACCAACAAAATTATTAGAGCAATGGGGAGTAAAGGATAAAGGGAGTGAAAACATGTTCCTGAAAATCACATATCGGAGTGAGAAACAAAAAAACTGGAGATAAACGATATAATGCAGCTTAATATATCAGAGATTTTCACATTAACAGATATGAAACTTGAAGATAATATTTTAAATGAGGGCACTTTCCCAAGGGGCTACTCAATTTGGAGACAAGAGGGAACAAAATAGAAGCGGTTGAGGTGTTGTTTAATTTATACCAAGACAGAGCTGCAGAAATAAAAAGCAAGAAAGAACTATAAATTCATTAAAAGCAAATTGCATGTAAAGGATAAAACACATAGGTTGAAAATGGGGAATAGATTCACGGAGAATGATAAGGAAATGTATGAAACACAAAACTGAACACTTTTAAAGTGTGTTTAAGAAAAATAAAGTTTTCAGAGAACCAGTCACAATGAAAATATCAGAGAATACCATGTATTCCACCCCTAGAATACATAGAAATGTCTCAAGACGAAGTGGAAAAAATGTTCAAGACGCTAGGTAGAAACAAAGCAGTTGGCCCAGATGGAATTTCACCTTGGCTTCTTAGAGAATACGCAGCTGTGCTGAGCACCCCACTTCATTTTTCAGTCATCTTTGTGTACAAGAATCTTGACATATATGGAAAAAGACATAGCTCCAATCTACAACAATGATAGCAGGGAAAAAAACTCTTAATTATAGACCCGATTCATTGACAAGCGGTAATGGCTCAAAAGCGCCACCACTTACGGGCTATTCATGCCCGTGCCACCTCTTGGGTGGCTTAATCTTTATCAATCTTTATCGAGCCAATGCTGCCTCCTTGCTCGTTTTGAGGTGGTGGAACCCCTGCAACCTTCAGAAGGGACCGACATGGAAGACAGAAGACGGAAGACTCCAGCTTCAAAGAAGAAAGAAGACTCCACACATCAAGAGGAAAGAAGACCTCACATCGCCGCCCCTACCTCGGAACCCTGCCTCCTAGCCTAAGCCAGTCAGGTCCAGGAAGCCTCATTTTACGCCGTGCAGCTGGGTCTAGCCCTGGCTCTGTCTCTCCAACTCCGACGTTTCCTCTCACCCAGACTATTCTTCAGCTATACCCACTTCAAAGCTCACCCCAATGGGTACCTTGTCCTATATTTAGTTCGTTCGTTCGTATAGCCCTTACTACGTGGATATTTCGTTCTGAGTAGCTAAATCTAAAACAACAACAACAAGGAGCCTATGCTATGCTTTCCAATTTCATAATTGCCTTTAAATACATGAATTGTGAAATATTTAAGAAATTATTTAAGACTTTTGTGAGATACAAGTTGGAATCAGCTGTTGTATGGCGCCCATGTCTCAAGAAACATATCAATTAACTGGAGGGAGGGAGGGAATTATCAGGGGAAAGCGCTAAGCTATTACGACTATAAAGCACTTGGAAGGGGATTTGGGATGTGACGGGGGAAAGGAATGGTGCCCAACCACTTGGACGGTCGGGGATTGAACACCGACCTGCATGACGCGAGACCGTCGCTCTACCGTCCAGCCCAAGCGGAAAAGACATGCAACAAAATGACTTCCAAAACTGAAAATCAAGAGGTTAGAGGCATGACAATACTAGAATAGAAGAAAAATAGGCGATATGATCACTACATACAAAGTAGTAACGGGAATCGCCAAAATTGTTTAGGAGGCATTCCGGAGACAACTTCAAGAACAAGAGGTCATAGATTTGCCTACATCGACAACAAACTGACAACTCCTGACAAAGCCATAACAGTTTACAGTGTAGTTAATTTCATTTATTTATTTATTTATTTATTTATTTATATATATACAAAAAGGTACATTGGGATTGTGAGGATAGTTGGTTAGTTTAGTTCATTAATTATGCACCCTATACCCATCTTGTGGGCGGTAGTGGAAAGGGTTACAGAGGCACATAATGGGCTCAGGGACTCAGGCCCTACATACATACATAGCATAGTAATTACATTCTTGTAAAGCCACTAGTACGCGCAGTACACTGTCATAAAGAAATTACAGTGGTGTGATATTCTCTTAGTCATTTGTTATGCACCCTATTCCCATCCCGTGTTACAAAAAAGTTACAAAGCCATATACAATAGGTTCAGGAACTGAACCGCAAAATTCTTAGAGCTAAGCAAGTTACAGTCTTGATAAACTGGTTACACTGTTTAATGTAAAGATTATATCAACAGTTTATTCGAGAACAATGTACACAAGTACAGTCTCTAAGCTAAGCTATTTATATATGCGGTGAACTAGTTTCATAATTTGATTTGCTTATTATGCACACCACCATCCTCCCCCCATCCAGGGCAGCGGCAGTGGAAAGGTTACCATACCCGCATTTACTATACCTACAATTAGCAAACTGAGGACATGTGGCAACAAATTCTGGTAGTAGATCATTTGGATGAAATATTAAACATTTATGTTATAGAGTTGACTCTAAATTCACGATACCAGTAATTTTGATGACAGTTTACATTTGGTCAGCTCTACATCGGCTGGTAACGTAAATGCCCAGATATACTTATAACTGAGTTTAAGCCGAGCATTAAACACAAAATACTACATGAACTACTAGGGTTTGTCTCTAATGTAGGTATACATGATGTAGTATACATACTACATCATGTATACATTAGGGGGCCTCGTAGCCTGGTAGATAGCGCGCAGGACTCGGTATTCTGTGGCGCGGGTTCGATTCCCCCACGAGGCAGAAACAAATGGGCAAAGTTTCTTTCACCCTGAATGCCCCTGTTACCTAGCAGTAAATAGGTA